ATTATTGATCGAAGGTCGAAATCAACACTTTTTTGTATATTTTGTAGTCGTCGTGGCCGAAAGGATAAGACGTCCGGTGCATTCGTGTGTAGCGATGCACCGGTGTTCGAATCCCGCAGGCGGGTACCAATTTTTCGAATGAAATACGTACTCAACAAATGTTCACGATTGACTTCCACGGTGAAGGAATAACATCGTGTAATAAAAATCAAACCCGCAAAATTATAATTTGCGTAATCACTGGTGGTAGGACCTCTTGGGAGTCCACACGGATAGGTACCACCACCCCGCCTATTTCCGCCGTTAAGCAGTAATGCGTTTCGGTTCGAAGGGTGGGGCAGCCGTTGTAACTATACTGAGACCTTAGAACTTATATCTCGAGGTGGGCGGCGCGTTTACGTTGTAGATGTCTATGGGCTCCAGTAACCACTTAGCACCAGGTGGGCTGTGAGCTCGTCCAATCATCTAGCAATAAAAAAAAAAAAGAGAGATGTTCCTAAGGTATTTTTATCCTATGTTTGGTTTTGAATCTCGGTCAGGTTAAAACCACAATTCACACAATGTTTTTCAGTCGTAGTATGAAATGTTATTGATCGGTATCCATAATCGAATGTAGCTCTCTCTGATCCTTAACTCCTGAGCCAAAGTCGTCGTTGAAGGGAGGATAAAATCCATAAAACAATGCCAGTAAAATAAATCGAAGAAAAATCAAAACACATCCATTTTGAACGTAAGCAGCAAGCGAACTGCAAAGTAGTGCAAAGTGTCAGTCAGTCAGATTAAATTCAGTGCTGTCAGTATAACGAAAAATAATTACATTAAATTCATATATGGATAATTTTTTTAAATAACCGATAGTTGATTTATTTTTTCAAAATTTATTTTTACTGGTACATATTATTTTTTATGTTTTTGTTTTAGTTGTACATATTTAAATAACAATACTAGTAAAGTTTTTTTTTTCCTTAGATGATTGGACGAGCTCACAGCCAACCTGGTGTTAAGTTGTTACTGGAACCCATGAGATCTACAACGTAAATGCGCCACCCAGCTTGAGATATAAGTTCTAAGGTCTCAAGTTACAATCAATTAAAATCGATTTATTAACTCATTAATATAATAATATTTTATAAAACATATAAATAAAACATTTTCAGTATTTGAGAATACTTAAAATGTTTTATTTATATAGTTAAAATGTTTACTTAATACGTAAAAGGTTTTGAAGCTGGAAATATTTTTCCCGCAAAAATTAAAATCCTTGTTTTTTCAAGAGTTACCGTCAAACTAACCAACATTGCCCACATTTTTTAAATAACACTAGATATTTCAAGATTTTTGTATGTAGCCCAATACATATTTGCTTATCTATGGCAACAATAAGTTCATATGCATGCATGTGTTTACTTAAATTTAACATTAGTCATGGTTTTCACGATAATATAAACAATTTTCAAGGCGGATAAAGTTATCTAGACTTTTGGCCAACATTACCCAACTTGAATTTTAGCAAAACATTTTGGCAATATAAGCGATCGCCCAAAATGTTTACTCAATATCATAAATATTTTCTTAATAAAATGAAAGGGCAATGTTATCCTGACATTTTTTCTCTTTCCCATACAAACGGTACCTACGTAGCGATTTAAAAGTGCTTGGGTTGTCACATTTGAGTAATCTTCACAGTGTCGCAATAGGTGAGTAACATAAACAATTTTTAAAGTGCAGTTGTTTATTAAAGACTTCAATCAATTAAAATCAAAGACTCATTTTTATAACAGAAGACTTAAAATCTGATAACTAAATTAGTTTTGTACTGCCTGGACCTAAATTCACGTCTCGACCTTCTTTATCGAATACGTGATTTATGTTTGTTTCTTCTGAAATACAAAATTGCGAATTAGGTAATAAAGAATAAAAAATTTTTTTTTCTTCTGTAGATATTTTTATTCTATCCAAGTTGGGGTACATAGCCAAAAGGATTTTAAGTGTAGTTGGGACTGCAAAGTTCTCAAGTTCGACTGCGTACCGGGAGACGTAACATGGGTAGGCCTCTCACAAGATGCACTGACGATCCAATAAGATCTCGGGGATCTACTGGATGCAAGCAGCGCAGGATCGATCGTTTTGGTGAGACTTGGAGGAAGCCTATGTCCAGCAGTGGACGTCTGTGGGCTGAAAGATCCATAGGGATACATAAATTCTCAACAGTAGTAGTAATATTCTCAATTCTCAATAAACATTATAGACATACTTACATGAACCCTGAAAATATAACTCTTTTTTTAACAGTTGCGTAAAAGAAAACCAAAGCGTCAACCCTAGATGTTTTGGGCAATGTTGACAATGATGCGGCTGCACATTTCTGTGTAACTTTGCCCGTCATCATAACTTTTGTTATACTTGAGCTACAGCAACGAATCTATCAGCAAAATACTAAGCATATTGTTTTACATAACAAATAATTTATTAAACTTACCGGTGTTTTCGTTATAATGCACAATTTACTTCAAAAAATTCACAGTAATTGGCCCGCAAAAACTCATCCCTTTTTTGACAAGTGCCGACAGGTAACAGTGTCAAGTTAGGAACGCACGCGCTATCCTGTGATATCACCGGTATATTTGATTCTCTACTAATGTTATAAACGCTGTAGTAAGTTTGGTACTTTTATGATATTAGTTGATTTTCTTAGAAAGTGTGTTTTGGGCAGTTTTCCCTCGTGGTGAAGTTGGCGTATTTGACGGTACTTTTATTAAACTACTTATTGTAATGCCAATTCGTACAATGTACGAATATTTGCGCGCATGTGAGTGGCCGTCAAACATTCATTCGCAAACTTAGCGGCTGTGCAAATGGGTTCGGTACTCAATTTGCGAACCCGTTTGCGCTTCCTCCTACACTTGTTTACGAATGTCTCACGAATTTCTCCTCCTTTTTAATACGTCAATAAAACATTGAAGAGAAAAAGAGTTTTGAATTCTTTCCCAGACATCATTAATAGCCATGCTGTTTTTATGGGATTTCTTTTGATGAGGATACGCTACACATTAGACGTCACGATTTATGAAAATAGCGAAACGTCCGTTGCCTTCCCGATCCTGGGCGCAACTGGTCAGTGGTCACAAGAATGTGTGGGAGACTACGCGAAGGACCGCGGTTCGCGCGCTTTGATGTCTGTTAAAAAACCGACACATCTTTGAAAACCACGAATGCAGCGAAAACTTTGCATAATCATTTGCAAATGTCGTCCTACACTTGCGGGTTTGCGTATTCGTGCGAATGTGAGTGACCGGTGTTAAAAAACCGCCACAGCTTGAAAACCACGAATGCAGCGAAAACTTTGCACAAATAATCATTTGCAAATGTCGTCCTACACTTGCGGGTTTGCGTATTCGTGCGAATGTGAGTGACCGATATAAAGGACAAGACGTCTAGTGACCGGTGCATAATGTAGGTAGCAATGCAACGGTGTTCGAACCCCGCAGGCGGGTACCAATTTTTCTAATGAAATACACGACGTACTCAACAAATATTCACGATTGACTTCCACGGTGAAGGAATAACATCGTGTAATAAAAATAAACCCGCAAAATGATAATTTGCGTAATTACTGGTGGTAGGACCTCTTGTGAGTCCGCACGGGTAGGTAACTAGGTACCACTGCCCTGTCTATTTCTGCTGTGAAGCAGTAATGCGTTCGGTTTGAAGGGTGGGGCAGCCGTTGTAACTATACTGAGACCTTAGAACTTATATCTCAAGGTGGGTGGCGCATTTACGTTGTAGATGTTTATGGGCTCCAGTAACCACTTAAAATCAGGTGGGCTGTGAGCTCGTGCAACCATCTAAGCAACAAAAAAAATTTTTTTTGATTGAAATTGGAAACGCACCGTCTCAGTTTTTTTCTTGTACCTGGCCACACTGTGCAATATCTTGTTAGTTGATTTTAAGCCTTAATGTAACGATTTAGCGTTTATTTTTCTTACACAGTATTTTAAATCTGTAATTGCAGTGATTCTGTCTCTTTTTAGCATCCTTTTCTCTATCTTAACGCGGCGGTTGTCAAGTTGACATTTTCATTGCTTGGGCATTTTTATAATCGACTTAATTGAAAACTAAAATTCTTTTAAAGATACAGAAAAGAGGAAGTAGCATAAAAATTGGTTGGATGTAAATTTGGATACCAAATGAGAAAGTTTAAAATTCCCTGTTCAATAGTTTCACCATATTTATATTCTTTTTCCACTTTTTCTAGAATAATTGAGAAATTAAAATGTCATTAGTTCAAATTAATAATGTATTTTTAGTAAACCCACATTATAAAAACACGCAACAACCTCGTTTTGTAACTCTTAAGGCAATTAATTAAATAAAATCTTTATTGTGCTTATTATGCTTTATTAAAGCATCTTATTTAATTTTATAAAAAGCCTAAGAATATTGTTTAGAAACTAAAAGTTCTAAAAAATTCGTAGGTTCTTAGTTTTTCAAACTTCAAATTTAAAAGCTTTGTAAAATGATTTGTTTATGTAACATCACGTAAATGTGTCCAGATGATCAGAGCCTTTGCACACCGTTCCGACCCGTACTTACTAAAGCTAATTTTTTTTTGTATGTACTATTAGCATACAATTTTTAAAAGTTACGTTACACAATTTTCTTTCTATAATTTAAGAACAAAGGTTTGATTTTTGCAATTACAGTTTTTTTTCTAGAAAAGTAAATATTAAAATATCATACATTGGGTTGTACGGTTACCTCATGTTCTCATACTAGTTGGTCCAATGTCAAGATAATATTTCAATTTAAGAAAACTAGATATAAAATTTATAAAAAACTGTGTGAAATATAAAAATAAATACAAAAAGTATCTTATTTTACCAAAAAAATCGATCACTTGCTCTATTTTCTAAGTAAATGAAAAAAATAATTTCGTCCAATATGACTTTTCTGCATGGTCGCTGTGACGACACAGTCTACGTCGATTTTGCGTCATCAGATCAAGAACATCATTCAAACGGGGAGGACGTACTTCAGAAATGTGTAAAGTGCTCTGTTGGGAACATTGAGTTATATTTTTTTCAAATGTTTCTCCTACCGGAATTATAAGTACAAAGCTTAGGATAGGTATGGAGTGTTCATTTGTGTAGTTATTCTGTGTAATGGTGTTCAGTTACTGTTCACTCAGTATCTTTTTAACTGTTTCAGGTTCCACGTCGAGTCGTCGCTATCATGGCGTCGGACGAACAATTTTCACTATGCTGGAACAATTTCCACGCAAATATGTCAGCAGGCTTTCATGGCCTGCTGTCGCGTGGAGATCTCGTAGACGTAACGTTGGCTGCCGAAGGCAGGTTATTGCAAGCACATAAATTAGTTCTATCAGTATGTTCTCCCTATTTTCAAGAAATGTTCAAAATGAATCCAACACAACATCCGATAGGTAAGATCAGAGAGTATTTGAACCACTAACATTATTTCTTTATATGCTTACAGTTTTCCGTAATATTTTTTCCTTGTTTCAGTATTTTTAAAAGATGTTAGTCATTCTGCACTAAGAGACTTATTACAGTTTATGTATCAAGGTGAAGTTAATGTTAAGCAAGAAGAATTAGCATCATTTATTAGTACAGCGGAACAACTTCAAGTTAAAGGTTTAACCGGTAATCAAAATGAAGAAAGTTCCACGCCATCCAAACCAAAGCCGACTTCGAGGCCAGGCCCCAGGTCGTCACAACAAAGACAATCTGTTATGACTAAGTTAGAGACTGATCTAGATTCTAAGCCCTCCTCAACTCCAGTAGCCGTTAAGAGGCCAAATAGGCCATCAATAGCATCAAATAACTCTTCTTCCTCACAAAGTGGACCAGCGAAACGAAAATGCGTAGATCCACTGGAAGCAGGTCCCTCTGGTTCTGCAAAAGACGAATTTGTGACGATACCAGACGAAGATGAGAACAATGCTGTCGCTCCCAAAATGGAACCAGAGTTTGTTAATGAGAGTATGTGGGATGACGATGAAGATGGCACGAACAATGACGAAACTAATTACGGAGAGGACGATTCTAATATGGAAATGACTGGTATGTTAAATATTTCTTGAATTACAAACTTTAATTATAAACTGCTGTAATTCTACAAAAATAAGTGTTTCCCAGGTTTTGATGGCTCTGCAACTGGAGATGTTAATATTTCTGGAGGTGAAGGTGGAGCAGTCGGCGATGCACAAGGTAGGTTCGCAATTTCTTATACAGAACAACTCTGCGATACGTCGGAGAGATGTTCGCTTCAAAAGCGCCAGAATGATCCTTCTTTAATCAGTGGACCTATGTTAAGCTCAAGGATCATGAAGGTCATTAGTTTTAGTGATGAAATTTGTAAGTTAGACCTAAGTAGTTTGTAGTAGACTAAATTAATTTAATGTTTCAGGTATGTATTTTAGTAGGCAATGCTTCATATGATCACATTCAATGAAACACTGTCTAGCATTCTAAAAGCTGGTGGTAAAACTTTGGTAAAAGGTTTTTAAAAAGGTAAAAGGTATTCGTAATTCTAACAGGTGTGTTGGTATGGATTTCAAGGTAACTCGTTTCTGGTCTGGTTGCGATATTATGGTATTTAGGTTTTTTATGTACAAAGTGATTAGAATACAGTGGTCGGTAAATGGTAAGACTGCGCTCTGGCGCGAAACCAAATTTCAGCATGACTGAACTTTTACAAGGTAGCTTTCATGGCGCCGAATGTTGCAAATCCATCTCGCTATTTCAAACTTAACGCTATGGTAAAACTTGGATGACTGCAAAAGTTTTTAATGCCCGGGTATGTTCGCTGGACTAAGTATCCGCATGATTAAGGATAAGTATCGCCGCACACTGGCCATCAGCTACAACTGCTGCAGATGTATTTCCTGTCCATAGCTATTTTATATGGGCTCTTATGTATACTGTTTACACCGGTGGCCGAAGCTCCAAGGTGTCTGAAAATTGCAGGAAATATGTCTGGCGTGTTGTGGCTTATGTCCGGCGACCATAGATTGTGGAAGTTCTAGCGTGATTGTCACGATGTAGGTATATATACCAATTTCGTAAGGTAATTTGGAAGAGTAATGGTAAATTGTTGGTTGGGTTTATATCAATCTTTGAGAAAATTAATTGTTCGCGGAAATTGTCCCTAAAGTTAAAACAAAATTGAGGTTAAAAAACATGAATCCTAACTTTCAAAGCTTGATAGTGCTTATGCTAGTATTCCAGAAGTGGTTGCTTACTCTACTAATAAACCCAGAATACACAGGTGATTACTGGTTATAAAATTCAAGAACATTCGCAAGCGCTTCATACTGCGCTGTTGTCTCAATCTCCCGAAATTTGTCCCTCCGGAGCGTAGGTTTTAAGAGTTTAACCTAATGTTTAAGGGTTCATCAATCGATAGCGGACTGGACTGTTTGGTATGCTTAAGGTAAGTATAGTATGTATCCTATGCTAAGCCGGAAAACTTTAGGGAGATTTGTTCTGTGTAGGTAAGATGATAGCTGTTGGCAAACTTCGTAAATAGGTACCGTAAAACGGGATGAATAAAAACGCAGGGGTCAATAGATACAAAATAAACTAAAAAAGTTTCTGCATACTGTAGCCAACTATTTTGAAAGAAAAACGTTCCGAAATTTGTTTTAAGACTGCAGCATTATTTTTCTTGAAATAGCAACACTGGATTGACGTGAGGTTTGTCAACTTTAAAAAAACTCTGTGAGTCCTTTGGATGCAGGTTAAACGAGGTCCTATAAAGTTATTTTCATATTGAAAGGAACTGTTTTGTGGCATCACAATTTGTTAAATGTATTCGTTGGTTCCTTGTCATCCAAATTAATACAAAGGTATAGGCGTTTGTTGTAAATTTCGAAATATTTGTAGAATTGTAAACAAAGCCATTTTTTACTTGTGATTGAGGTTAATAGATACGGGGAAGGGTCTATATGGGGGGAATAGATACGTAATATGGGTTCAATAGACACGTGAATGGGTTCAATAGAAACTAGTAAGCGGTGATTAGAAAAATATTTGTTAGGGCTGCTATATTAGAATATTATTTTCTTTTGTTATAAAATTAAGAATTCTTGGGAATTATATGATTCGGGGACGATATTCATGAACTGTTATATGTATATATAGGTCACTGCCCGAGGGAGCTCCAAGGTATTACAAATTACAAACTTCCAAATCAGGATTTAAATTTTATGTACAATGTTACTAATTATGTAGGTAGATAAATACTGTCATCGCCTATATAAATATTATCTTCTGCTATAGGTACAAATCATTATGCCGCGTGCTTATAAACCTGATCCTAGAGGGAAAATGAAGCTGTTGCCGCATATGCGAATGGCAAATTCCTACCTATTTTTCACACTTACGTTAGCTACTTAAGCAGGTCTCTACTTAATCTTTGGAAATTGCCAACCATAGAATTTTTTCTTTTCACCCCATACCTCGTGTCTATTGAACCCATTTGCGGGTCAATAGAAATCAATGCTAATTTAGATGACTGAAAACTATTAAAACAGCTAAGAGACATGATATAAGACCAATATAATGTTCTTTTGACTATTGAAAACATATATAAAAATGAAGTAAATTTCAATATTGTGTCAATTCAACCCGTTTTACGGTAACCACAGTCTTAACTGTGCATCTGCATTTTATTTTAAATCGTGGACGTGCAGACTAGGGTACCGTCAATCAGGGTAACAACTTAGCTTTCCGTTTAACGTTAGCCCACTTACTCACTTTTTACTGATCTATAATTTCCAAACTGGATACCGTCCATCTGGGTAACTTTGTCCCGCCATGTGAATAATTTTGTACGTATTGTCTCAGTTTTACTGGATATAAATAAAAAATATGGATTTTCCGTGGGTTTTAAACGTTAACAATTGAAATTTAAATGATTTTTCATGAAAGAGTGAAAATCTCACAAAATTGACAAAAAATTGTGGTCCAATGTTATATTGAGAACGGGGTAGCTTTGCCAGAATAAGAACTGGCAACACAATTTTGATGTATTTTTACATTTAAAGCCCTATGATAACATTTGATTTATTTTTTATATAAATAAATTAGGTCGCCATCTTATGACAGCTGTTTACCAAAAAATAAGCTTCAAGTAGGGTTGTCGATAAAATTCACGAAGTGTGTTTGAAAGGACCTTTATTTATAAGAACTTATTTATCTTCTATTTATTTTTACAAATCGGTCTATTCATTATAATTAGCAAAACGTGGCATGTTAAAATTATAAAAAAGAGCCAAAGCTATTATCCTTCGGTAGAATTAAAATAGTTACAGTTGTTAATCACCCCGTTCCATGATCCAGTATCCAAATCTAATTGCTCAGATAATGATTTTTAATGAAGAGGTTTATTATTGAACGAGGAAAGCGCGCGAAAATTTGATATCAATCAACAAAACTTTTCTTTGTTTAGGTTGATTGTGAAGTGGTAGGGAGGTAATAAATGAAACATCGCTGCAAAGGTTTTTATATTCATACTCAATAGTTTCAAAGGTTTGTACTTTTTATAATAAGTCAAGGTTGCAGATGTAGTTTCAAAAAAATCTATATGATTTAAATAGTTGTTTACGTGTTTGTCTTGATTTTAATTCGTTTGGTGAATATTTGTGCTAATATAGGTAACTTTAACCCGGGTAAAAGTTGAAAATAAGCCGAAGAATGTGTCAAGAACATGCACAAAAAGCCCTTCGAGAACTGTTAGAAAGCTTCCACGGTGACTAACTTTCCTGTTACTTGTTCTTTATCACCTATTCCTGGTCCTTCAAACAAAAAATCGACATACTGCGTCTACCTACCAATCATCTTCCATCACCCACAGCTGAATCCTCATTTAATATTGAAACTACCGTCTTTCGTACTCCACTACCTACCTACTAATGATATCACATCACTCATGGATCAATATATGCAAAATCATTTAAATTTCAATTGTAAACTTTAAAAACCCACGGAAAATCCATATTTTTTATTAATATCCAGTAAAACTAAAACACTACGTACAAAATCGTTCGCATGGTGGCACAAAGTTACCCAGATTGATGGTAACGTAATGATTTTTACGCTATAAACTAATAAACATTTTATTTTCTCAAGTTTATTGAATTTGTGCCTCCTACTGTGATCATTCTTTTAATTCTAATACAAAGTATCCAGACCGGCTAAAAGGTATGGCTATGCTGTGGGCCGAACTAGGTTGACTCAAACGGCACAGTGTAGCTACTTTCCTACTAACTACCGGAGTATTTTATGCGAATCTGAATCTACTCTTCACACCTTTTGTCTTATCATTGTCTAGTGAATTAAATAATGCACCATCTCTAAATAGCAATGTAGGTTAATTCTGGCGTCCAATACAAAGTATCCAGACCGGCTAAAAGGTATGGCTATGCTGTGGGCCGAACTAGGTTGACTCAAACGGCACAGTGTAGCTACTTTCCTACTAACTACCGGAGTATTTTATGCGAATCTGAATCTACTCTTCACACCTTTTGTCTTATCATTGTCTAGTGAATTAAATAATGCACCATCTCTAAATAGCAATGTAGGTTAATTCTGGCGTCCAAAACGTAATATTGAGTAATATCGGTGCATAATTAGAGATTTCAGATTATTAACTACGAACTAGTGTAATCTTTTAGATCATAAGGCGGCGTCCAATTTCCTGTTGAGTAGTTTTGTTTCTGAAGAAAATCAAAATGGTTTTTTTTAAACTTTGACAAATTTACCTAAAATTAACCTTGTGGATAAGATAATTTGCAACCGCAAAAACTACCTGTGTTGAGCAAAACTGGTTTCAAATACCGGCATAACCCTTAAATGTTGTCAAATAATGGTAGATTGTCTTCTGTTTTATAATGAGACAAAAAATTACATGTGTGCAATTCACACGTGGTAGAAGTGAAACCTTCCAAAATTAAAATACAATTATCCTAAACGTCTTAAGTATATGTAAAATTTTGTCATTAGTAAATAATTGTAAGGCAGCGCCCTCTGTGAATTGATATTTTAATTTCACGTATAATCCTAAATTAAAATTCCCTACAAGAGCTTTCATACACACGTTAGTATTAAAAAATCTCACAGATGGCGCTGTATTAAATAGTATGTATATTTCTGTCTCATTCTTTGCTGGCTTCATCCTACACATTTTTGTATTTGTGTCTCTTACC